CATGGGAGGGATAATTATGGTCAGTAACCTGTCTGAGGTTACCTCTTGGCCTTACTCTGCACCCAAGCTCATGTGTGATTCAGGAAGTCTTCTATTTCTGTGTTCACATCGATGATTTCCTTACTTGCTTTCTAGAAGTGAATCCTCCTGTGGTACTGGTAAAGAAACTGAAGATTCTCAATCAGGCTTTTGCCTGGCTGAATATTGGGTTTAGAGGTAGAGTCTTTGTGGCAGAAGGAATAAGTACAGGGAGAAGTCATTGTCCTTAGGATACCAGACACATGACAAAACCAAACATAATGTCCACCTCCTCTCTGACTCACCTACCCAGAGCATGATTAGCCTGGAGGGTTGGTGGCAAGCAGGTACAGATGCTCTCCAACTTACAATGGGACTAACCTACTGAGCAGCATAGCGTAGCCTAGCCTACCGCAAATGTGCTCAGAACACTTAATATTAGCCTACAGTTGGGCAAAATCATCTGTAACACAGAGCCTATTTTATAATAGTGTTGAAAGCTCACATAATTCACTGAATCCTCAAAGTGAAAAACTGTGTGGTTGTATGCGTACCTGAGGTACAATTCCTACTGAATGTGTACTGTTTCTGCATCATTGTAAAAGTTGAAAAATTGTAAGTGGAACCATTGCAGGTCAGAGACCATCTATCTGTATTTGATTCAGTGAGGTCTGAATCCTCTCCCCTCTCCCCTCATTATCCCATGATTACTCCTTTTCCAGAGGACTTAGGAGTCTGGAGATCTCAAGATACACATTGACCAGTGAAGTCTGTCTTGGCCTTGGGAAACCTTTATAACTTGAATGGCCTAATGAAGTAGAGCTTGTGACTGACAGCAAGACTTTTCAGAAGTTTGGAACACTTTTTGACTTAACCAGGAATTTAATGGTTGAGGATTGTCAAAGAGTCACCAAACAGTGACTTCAGCGTCTAGAGTATAGGCCCACCATTAACCCAGACTCCTTGATGTAGACCAACCTAGAGCAGATTAGGGTGGTGTAGGATGGTCCCTACCCTGGGCTTAGTCTGACTCTCCCCAGGGAGAGCAGTCCCAGTGAAATTATCAGGGACAGAATGTGGACAGAGTATTAAATACTCCTTCTGTTGTGTACCTCTTTAATGCAAAAGGATTATGGAAAGAAAATCTCAGTTGCCTTACTTGTGTTGGCCACATTAAAGCAAGAGTTATTACATCAGTTATGGTCAGTTAATGTATATACCAATATAAATATTGTTTTACTCCTTTTTATTTTTAAAAAATATTTATTTAGGCTCAGCGCCTGTGTCTCAAGTGGCTAAGGCGCCAGCCACATACACCTAAGGTGGCAGGTTCGAATCCAGCCTGGGCCCGCCAAACAACAATGACGGCTGTAACCAAAAAAATAGCTGGGCACTGTGGTGGGCATCTGTGGTCTCAGCTATTTGGGAGGCGGAGGCAGGAGACTCACTTGAGTCCAGGAGTTGGAGATTGCTGTGAGCTGTGATGCCACAGCACTCTACCAAGGGCGAGAGCTTGAGGCTCTGTCTCAAAAAAAAAATGACAGCTGTTGATGGTTTGACTTGCACTTCACTTACTCATGTGACACACGTTTCTAGGCACAAGTTCGAGCTGGGCTGAAAGGGACGAAGGAGCCCATACCTACTCCAACAGGTAAGGGAGGCTGTTCTCTAGAATAGCACATGATTCTCATTCTGTCATGCA